GTTATTCCAACTCAATTCTGTATGTAATAGGGACTAACCCAACTGCTGGGTTATATTTTTTATTAAATTAACATGACCAAATTTAACCCAATGTTTTGGTTAATCCATATTTACCCAATCTAGGTTTAAATAATCCAGCCTTTCTTAGTGAAAATACAAAAACATTGACTTTAATGCCGGGTTATTTCAACCCAATTCTTTATGTAATAGGGACTAACCCAACTGCTGGGTTATTTTTATTAAATTAATAGGACCAAATTTAAACAAATTTTTGGGTTACTCTACATTTAACCCAATTTGGGTTTAAATAACCCAGCATATCATAGAATGAAAACATCCAAAAATATGCATTTAATTGTGGGTTAATTATATTGGGAGTAATAGGGACTAACCCAACTGCTAGACAATTTTTTTATTAAATTAACAGGACCAAATTTAACCCAATGCTTGGGTTAGTCCATATTTTCCCCCATTTGGGTTTGAATAACCCAGCATTTCTTAGGAGCGAGCACACCAAAGAAACTTGCCTTTAATGCCAGGTTATTCCAACTCAATTGGGGGTTTAATAGGGACTAACCCAATTGCTGGTACATTTTTTTATTAAATTAACATGACTAAATTTAACCCAATGTTTGGGTTAGTCCATATTTACCCAATCTAGGTTTAAATAATCCAGCCTTTCTTAGTGAAAATACAAAAAAATTGACTTTAATGCCGGGTTATTTTAACCCAATTCTGTATGTAATAGGGACTAACCCAACTGCTGGGTTAATTTTTTTATTAAATTAACAGGACCAAATTTAACCCAATGTTTGGGTTAGTCTACCCAATTTAGGTTTAAATAACCCAGCATTTCTTAGGAGTGAGCATACCAAAAGAAACTTGCCTTTAATGTCAGGTTATTCCAACTCAATTGCGGGTGTAATAGGGACTAACCCAACTGCTGGGTTAATTTTTTTTATTAAATTAACATGACCAAATTTAACCTAATGTTTGGGTTAGTCCATATTTACCCAATTTAGGTTTAAATAACCCAGCATTTGAAGTGTGAAAATACCAAAAAACAACTGCCTTTAAAGTCTTGGCTTAAGGAAATATGTTGTGTTTAAAATAACAACAAGGTGGAAACTAGTGTGCAAAACTGTTTATCATTCTTGCAAAAGTAAAGGCCACACAAGCAGCGAGACGTGTGTCAGCACCACACCGTCAAACCAGAACATCCAAAAAGGGGAAAGAAATTCAGAAATCCTCTCCAAGCGCCTGATAAACACTACCGGCCCCTCCTTCAGTTTACTGCACGCTTCTGCTTTTTATCACTCTTGTCTTGCCGGATCATTTACAGATGCAAGATGAATCCTGCTCACATCACCACACTGCCATAAAAGCATTACACGCACAGAGAGAGAAGATCGATGCGGAAATCACATTAATCTGTTTAAGACACCAATCATCCAGACCGGAATTACTGGACCACAGTGTCAACCCCACAGCCCAAAAGAGCCTGACTGATGAAGACAAATGTATGCTAGAAATCCCTTTCACAACACACAGCTCTCCATACTGGACCGGCAGGATCCTGAGAGTGAGTCAGCAATGGCTTTGTGTTTTTAAAGAGGGCGCGTCTTTAATTAACCTGAGACAAAACAACAAATTACTCGAAAGTAGGCCTCAGAAAGTGCTCAAGTATCCCTAAAAAGCATCATTGCATTTAAAATTAGTGCGAGTTATCAGTGCATCAATTGCAATTAATTGCATCCAAAATACAAGTTTATTTTGACATAATATGTGCTGTGTATTTTTTATGTATATATATATATATATATATATATATATATATATATATATATATATATATATATATATATATACACACACACACACATATATATATACACATACATATATATATATATATATATATATATACATACATATATATATATATATATATATACATACATATATATATATATACATACATATATATATATATATATATATATATATATAGGGACGAAGCAGTGGCGCAGTAGGTTGTGCTGTCCTCACAGCAGGAAGGACGCTGGTTCCATCCTCGGCTCAGTTGGCGTTTCTGTGTGGAGTTTGCATGTTCTCCCTGCGTTTCCTCTGGGTGCTCCGGTTTCCCTCACATGCAGAAAGACATGCAGTACAGGTGAATTGGGTAGGCTAAATTGTCCGTAGTGTATGAATGTGTGTGTGGATGTTTCCCAGAGATGGGTTGCGGCTGGAAGGGCATCCGCTGCATAACAACATGCTGGATAAGTTGGCGGTTCATTCCGCTGTGGCGACCCCAGAATAATAAAGGGACTAAGCCAAAAATAAAATGAATGAATATAAAAATTGGGACTTTCAGCAGTGAAAATTAAACTGGACTGACACAGTTTCAATTTACTTCTATATACTTCTAACATACTTCTATGTTAAGCTGCTCTGACACAATCTACATTGTAAAAGCACTATACAAATAAACATCAATTGAAGACAAACCTGCATGCACATATTTGAGAAATGTTTTATTTATATTTAGATATATTATATATACACACTGCCTGACAAAAGTCTTGCCGTTGATCCCAGTTAAGAGCAACAAATAATAACTTATTTAACTTGAAAAAGTGGCAGAATGTAGATTTTTCCCATGAATCAACTGTTGAACTGCATACCAATACTTGAACCAGCATGGAGCCAAGATTCTCACTGAAATCAGTCAAGTTTGGTGAAGGAGAAATCATGGTTTGGGGTTGCATTCAGTATGAGGGCGTGTGAGAGATCTGCAGAGTGGACGGCAACATCAACAGCCTGAGGTATCAAGACATTTGTGCTGCCCATTACATTACAAACCACAGGAGAGGGACAATTCTCCAGCAGGATAGCGCTCCTTCTCATACTTCAGCCTCCACATCAAAGCTCCTGAAGGCAAAGAAGGTCAAGCTGCTCCAGGATTGGCCAGTCCAGTCACCAGACATGAACATTATTGAGCATGTCTGGGGTTAAGATGAAGGAGGAGGGGCTGAATATAAATCCAGAGTCTTGATGAACTCTGGGAGTCCTGCAGGAACGCTTTCTTCGCCATTCCAGATGACTTTATTAATCAGTGATTTGAGTCATTGCAGAGATGTATGGATGCAGTCCTCCAAGCTCATGATGGAGTCACACACAATATTCATTCTGTTTCCACTGCAGCAGGACTTTATATTCTATACTGGACTTTTTTCTGTTCAGTGATTAGACTTTTGTCTAAGCAGAGACAGACCTTACCACCCTAAAAAAATGATTAAAAATCAAGGCATGATCATATTTTATTCTGGTAAAATTAGCGTAATCTAGAGGCCTTTGCCTTTCATATAAGCCACTTCTGATACCAAATAATCAACTAGAAGTCAAGTTATTGTTTGCTGTTCCTAAAACGTGGATAGGCGACAAGACTTTTGTCAGGTAGTGTATATCTTGAAATAATTCTAAAAAAATATATGGACGGACGGACGGACGGACGGACGGACGGACAGACAGACAGACAGACAGACAGACAGACAGACAGACAGACAGACAGACAGACAGACAGATAGATAGATAGATAGATAGATAGATAGATAGATAGATAGACAGATAGATAATCTCAGTCATGAAACGGTACTGTTTTAACTATTTCATGTTTTTAAGTATATACCCAGAAATGTACTCATGATAATTTTTCTCACTTTATAACTTGATTGCAAAATGTTTCATTAAAAATGTAGAAACAAATAAATAAGTTTATAAAACACAAAACACTTTTTAAACTAATTATCGCTGGCCCAACATAAAAATAAAACAGCAAAAATTTAATGTTTCACAGGTCAACATCTAGAATGAATTAGAGCAACTTAATTATCACATTTGATCTCGATGCTTTTCATGATGGTTTATTTCTTCATCTTTCAATCAGCATTGCATTGTTTTAAAACAGCAGAGCACAAAACTAAGCATCTAAATAGCATCTTATACTGACATATTATAGGATAAAAGAGTAAAAATAACTATGAATTTTGAAGTGTACTATTATTTTATAAGATGTCAGGCATTTACAATCTATCACAAGTTTTATGAACATCAGCATCTGCTTCGTTGTTGCCTAGTCTTGCTCAGTCTAAACAAAACTGTGGGAAATTATTTTTCATATTCTTACTGTCTCAGACGATATCAACCGTAAAAATCTGATTTATGAAATATGATGCAAAACATTAAACCTATGTGGAAACTGTATTTTATTATTAGTCCATTTTTTATTGATTAATGTCTTGTAAGTTTTACCAGCTTATTAAATTAATGATTTAGTCGATGAATGAAGTCAGCTGATGTTCAGACATTTAAGTATAACTTATGCGGTCAAAAATATTTCATGTGTGTGACTGCAGAATCTGCCGACAGATAAACATGTCTGGGACAATAAGTTTTTTGTTTAAAAAAAAAAATAAAGTAGGTCAGTGTGTTTGGATTGTAACTTTCATTTCAGGATGTACGATATGTTGTTAAATTTATCCAGTGGTTTAAATCAAGGTCTACATATATTTTCTAAAAAAATGTTTTAATAACTGGATATTTTATGAATTGCAGTCACAATATTTAACTCGTGGGGTTTCCTGGCATGAAATGTACAGAGTTCAAAAACAAAAAGCAAAATCAGCCTTAAATAACCATACTTTAGTTTAACTTGTGGCCTCCGAATGAAACTGAAATGTTTGCATATTCCCAATTATCACTATATGAGCTATACAAAAGTGTGATTTTATAAATTATTATACTAAACACATGTAATTTATTATTTCTTTTCATTTCCAACATATATATGATACTATATAGGACTGTAGTATCACGCTTTAAACTTTTATTTTGGGATATTTTTTATCTTTTAAGATTTACAAGATGATTAAATGTGAAAAGGGTGGATTTAGTAAAGTTTTAGTAAAGGTATGAAAGTAATATTCATACATTCAAGTATTATTTAACCACATGAACACTTTTAGTGAATTGTTTCGTGGTTCTATTTATAGTGTTTTAATTTGATCAGTATGTGTCTAACATAACATAATTTATATATATATATATATATATATATATATATATATATATATATATATATATATATATATATATATATATACACACACACACACATACATACAACCTTAACAATAGCCTATATCACGTTCATTTAGAGCTTGACAGTGTAAAAACTCCTCCCTTTCCAACATTCCACACACACCAACAAACTCAAAACTCGCTAAAATAAGTGTAAAACTTGTGAAACACTGCATATATGTGTTTTAAACACTTAAATAATGGCTCATTTTAAACACACACACATGGGATTATTTGTAAAATTGTTAAAATCTTAATTCTGTCAGTTACCTGCACAAGTCTTCGTGTTTCTCCCAGCTGGATGAAGATTTTAAAGGAGGATATTAAACAGATGCTGCTGGTTATTGAATGATCCTTATGCAGAAATGCATGTCCAGCTTTCAGAGTCAGTTTCTCCTGAATTCTCCAGAGACTCTAATGATTGTGATGAAGATGAGTCCGGCCGGAGTGTTTGTATCTCTTGTGTCGTGTTTTTAGTGTGTGTGAGTGAGGGAGGAGCCTCGCCTTGTCTGATCACTCGCGTGTGTTTTTCTGCAACTCACTCCAATTTATCAGAGGGAAACACGTCCTGAATAAGCGCTATCGATGACAACATCAAACTTTTCCGAGAAAGCGGATGGCTTATAACTCACTGTCTGCAGTCTTTAGTGTCAGTTGGCATCTATTTTTATAACAGCCTTGGGAAAAACGAAAGAACCAAATGAAAGAGAAACGCAAAACGTGCAGTTTCGGGAACTGAGGTGATTTTTAAGCGTAATGCCGCCATCTTGTGGCAACAACGCAGGCTAGGTTTTATATTTGTAGGTTTTATAAAGATTGCTAACAATTCTTATTATTGTTATTATTATTGTGAAATCGGCGTATAAGGCTGTAATCGTATGTGGCTTTAAAAAGATGCCTGAAAACGTACAATTCAAAAACTATCAGAAGTAAACTTCTGCTAGCAGTTATCACGTGATTAGTGTTACTTTTCTCAGCGCAAGACATCACCAGCCCATCATATTCTTTGATTTTTATCTCGCTTGATCTGGCTTCTTGGGCTGTAAATCAGTTTTCATGGTCAGCATCGTAAACAATGACAGAAACAATTAAACAACAATAGTAGTAGTTGTAACAATAATAATGGGCGACACAGTGTCACCTCTAAGCAAGAAGGTTGCGGGTTCGAGTCTCGGCTGGGCCAGTTAACATTTCTGTGTGGAGTTTGCATGTTCTCCCCCCCTACTAAAAAAAAAAAGCTTAAACCAGCCTAGGCTGGTTGGCTGGTTTTAGCTGGTCGACCAAGCTGGTTTTAGAGGGGTTTTGGCCATTTCCAGGCTGGTTTCCAGCCATTTCCAGCCTGGTCTTAGCTGGTCAGGCTGGGAGATGACCAGCTAAAACCAGCTTGACCACCCTAGCCAAGCTGGGAGTCCAGCCAAAACCAGCTATGTCCAGCTTAAACCAGGCTGGTCAAGCTGGTTTTAGCTGGATTTAGCTGGTCATTTTTCAGCCAGACCAGCTAAAACCAAGCTGGAAATGGCTGGAAACCAGCCTGGAAATGGCCCAAACCCCTCTAAAACCAGGCTGGTCAACCAGCTAAAACCAGCCAACTAGGCTGGTTTAAGCTAGGTTTTTCAGCAGGGTTGGAGTGGGTTTCCTCTGGGTGCTCCGGGTTCCCCCACAGTCCAAACCCAAACACATGCGCTATAGATGAATTGGCTAAGCTAAATTGTCCGTAGTGAATGTGAGAGTGTATGATTGTTACCCAGTACTGTGATGTGGCTGGAAGGGCATCCGCTCTCTAAGACATGTACTGGAATAGTTGGTGGTTCATTCTGCTGTGGCGACCCCTGATGAATAAAGAAACTAAGCTGAGGGAAAATAAATGAATGAATGAATAATTAGAATAAGAGCAGTATGAAAAGACGGAAATTATGGAGGACCAGGAGCGCCAGTTAGAAATAAATTAACGACTCAAATGATCAATTTAACAATTGATGCATAAAAATGTAAATATAATAAACAGATAGACATATTTAAATGTGTTTACAGTACCTATGCATTTAAATGTCATTAAATAAAACAATCCATAAAAAACTTTTAAAAGTTTAGACAGTTTTACATCTGTTTAATTCATGTTTTTAAACACTGATTAATCAAACAGTACAAAAATGTATATTAATATATCCTTTTAAATGCATTTATATGCACAATTTAAACAGCTTTTTTAAAAGGCATTGACAAATGCTTTTTTCTCTCTATTTGCCACTTGGTTTTCTTTTGCCACGTTTTATTAAATGTCATTTAATAACATGTCTATTTATTTGTCCATTATTTGTTCCATTTAAATTGTGATTCATTTATTTAATTTTTTTAATAACTATGTTCAGGGGTTTTCATCTTTATTATGATAGGACAGTAGAGATTTCAGTCAGGAACGCATTGAAAGCAGAGAGAGGGTAATGTCTAGATCGGATATGCGGCCGGCCGGAAGTGCGATATGCACATTAATAAAGCAGCATTTTTTATGACACTGTATAACAATAATTAATATTTTTTACAGTAGGTTGGGTTTAGGGTTGGGGTGGGGGTAGGCGTTAAATTTTTTTTTTTTTTTTGGGGTAATTTAATAGATAACATAACTAATACTCGGTACAACAACTGTTTTTACATTGCTGTGACGGTTGGGTTTAGGGTTGGGGTTGGGGTGGGGGTAGACGTTAATAAAATACAACAAATGAGAAATTTAATAAATGATAGAAATAATTCGCGTTAACTTCCGCAAACGTATCCGCTCTAGCAACAACCCAGAGAGAGGGCAAGGATTGGCAAAGGACCTCGAGGCGAGAATTGAACTTGGGTCGCCGTGAGCATGTTGCTGCTATATGCCAGCGCACATAACGTTAGGCTATTTACACCGACTATTTACATTTTTATACTTCAACTTTTAAATAGACAATTTGATTTTTCATTTTGGGGAATTTCAGTGTTTAGCATTGTCACCTCATAGCAAGAAGGTCACTGGTTCGAGTCCCGGCTGGGCCAGCTGGCGTTTTTGTGTGGAGTTTGCATGTTCTCCCGTGTTGGTTTCCCCCACAGTCCAAACACATGCGCTAAAGGTGAATTGGATGAAGTAAATTGGCTGTAGTGTATGAGTGTGTATGGGTGTTTCCCAGTACTGGGTTGCAGCTGAAAGGGCATCTGCTGTGTAAAACTGTGTTAAAAATGTACCTAATCAAGCAATTGCAGTTTACTGTTAATATTCATAAGCAGTTTCATTCTTTCATTCATTCATTTTCTTTTTGGCTTAGTCCCTTTATTAATCCGAGGTCGCCACAGCGGAATGAACTGCCAACTTATCCAACACAATTTTATGCAGCGGATGCCCTTCCAGCCGCAAACCATCTCTGGGAAACTTCCACACACACTCATGCACTATGGACAATTTAGACTACCCAATTCACCTGTATGTCTTTAGACTGTCTGGAAACCGGAGCACACGGAGGAAACCCACGCGAAAGCAGGGAGAACATGCAAACTCCACACAGAAACGCCAACTGACCCGAGGTTCGAACCAGTGGCCCACCTTCTTGCTGTGAGGCTACTGCGTCGCCCCATAAGGAGTTTATTTATACATTTAGCAGGATGGAAAATCATTTATGGCAAATTACCCAGGTCAAACATAAACCAGTGAACTACTAAAACATTCAGTGGCATCTTCATTCACACAAACACCCTGTCTATTATTGAGGAGAAAAATGTTAATCTTTAAACATGGAGCACGAGATGAATTATAAGAGCCGTCATGTGAGGACTGCACTTTACTCCTCTGGAGAAAACAGAAGGTACAACACTCATATACTGTGAGTATTTGACTGATTTGAGTGACACTTATGTCATATCATGTATTTTTTGGACACAAACTAGCTGTTTTGTTAGATATTTTGTGAAAAAAATTTGTCAAAATAGACTTTTTATGTAATTACTGCAAATGTAATAGTGGAAATAGTAGTCAAGTTGCTAAAATAATAACTCATAATAAGTTATATCGAACATTTTCTTTCAGACAGCATGGAGTTCAGTCGCATCTCTCTGTTGACGTTGATTTTCATCTGGGATTTCCTGTGCGTCTTCACACATAATGCTGCGGCACACAGCGATATTTATGAGAGAACATCTGAAGAGCTGCTGGAGACTACGAAGAGTCAAATGAAACATCTGCAGGTCAGAAATGAAAACTCACTGACCATTCATGCAGGAGAAACACTGACGCTTCAGTGCAGAGATTCAGGATCTGAAGGTGAGCACAACTTACAGAGGAATTCAGTCCTTACTGTAGTTCGGGAATGCAATTAATCTTTATTTTCTTTGTCAATTAAGAGATTTGTAAAGTTGACTGCATTTCTCAAAAACAATCAACCTTAAAGTTACTTAAGATTAGATTAGATTTAACTTTGTGCGGTTTATAAACTAATAATAACTAATTACTCATAAACTATTTTCGAGAGGATCACGTGCTTATAATCAACATGGCTGGCTCCTTGTTAGCTCCGTAATCAGCCCTATTAGATGATTACGGAAGCATTATAAATAACCTGGGTTTTTCACTCCAGTTATCTTTATCTTGAAGCTCCCCCCCTTTCCACCCCTACATCCTCCCCCTTTTTTCTGATTGGGCGACACGGTGGCCCAGTGGCACTGTTTCCTCACAGCAAGAACACCGGCGGTCCAACCCGTAGGGCTGGTTGGTGTTTCTGTGCGAAGTTTACATGTTCTCCCCGTGTTCGCGTGGGTTTCCGTCGGGTTCCCCGGTTTCCTCCCACCGTCCAAAAACATAAACCATAGCCAATCGACTAAACCAAATTATCACCCAATACAACCTTATATTTTACATTTCTCACAGTGACAAGCAGGGGAGTTCTCGAGACCTACCTGACCTCAAACTCCCCTCTTGCCCTTCTAATGGTAGGGAGCCCCGGGCTCGAGGATATAACGAGCTCAGGGCTCTCTCCCGGGACAGCATGCCAAATACGCTTTGATTATCAGCTAACTGTGAAATTGTCATTACACATGTACAAGACAACGAAATGCAGTTTTAAGTAGTAAAATATACATAAATTGTAAAATGGACTTTTTTGGTGGTCAGCCTACCTGTTTTTGAAAATTAATACTTGCATTTTTTTTGTTAATACAGCCAATAATTATGGTGCATTTAAACAGAACAGGTTTATTAGATTCAATAAAAAAAAAAGGGTTTGGTCACCGAACATCTTTGGCAATAGAAAGATAATAAATTAAAATTCAAACGAGTTATTGCAAGAATTATTATTATTATTAATCTTATTTTTTAATTCAACTACAGGGGTGCGGCCAGGTAGGGAGCCAAGACATTGTGCCCAGGGGCCTCTGAATTCTTAATCCGGGCCTGATTGAGGGATCTTTAGCTTAATGTTAAAGTTCACCACTATTTAGTTTTTAATCTGCTTCAAGTGGCTTCAAACCTTTAAGTATTTTCCCCCCCATTGAGCACATAATAACATATTGGAGAAAGCTGAAAAACAATTGATATTAGCTATGAAAAACAAATAGACTGTGGAAGTCAATGGTTACAGGTTTCCAACATTATTCAAAACATCTTCTTTTGTGTTCAAAAGAAAGAAAGTCAAACAGATTTGGAACAAGTGAATGGTGCAGAGTTTCTGTTTGGTCATGTTATTATTTTTCCTCTCTTCAGTGCTTTCTCTGTTCTGGAAAACACCTTTCGGGCAGTTAGAAGGCTGCAACCGTCAAAACAAAGACCCGGTGGAAACATGCAATGGCACCTTGAAGATTTCACGAGCCACATCCAGTCATGATGGACTATATTTCTGTATCTGTGAGGACAAGACGAGCAAAACAATCATACCCTACAGAATTAATGTAATAGCCTTAAATCCCAAAATCAAAAAACGACTAAGCACCACCAGACAGGAGGAAGTTTATGCAGAAACAGTGTCTGAAAGCGTTTTCGTGGCTGCTGTCGCTTCATCAGTGATAGCGAGCTTTTTAGTCGCCTTCACACTTGGCGCCTTTAGCAGATCTTACGTCATAAAATGTTTACAAACGATTCGCGTTTGGTTACCCTTTAAAAAAGAAGACGTTATTGAACAGAACAACTTACAAAACACCACGGCACAATCTCAATCAGTGTTCTTCAAGAAAAGCGACACTGACGACGAGGACACGGTCGATATTAGTTTTGTTGACGACGTTTTTGTTGACGATGTTATAGAAACTGGCGGGAATGACGAGGGAAACCAACAGACTTGCGAAGGAGATGAAGAAACTCGGGAGTTCAGATCGGTGGTCAGTCCACATCCAAAGAAGAAATCCCGCGTCATTAAAGTCTACAATTATGACGAAGAAGGGAATCGGTTTAGTCATATTAAAGACTCAGAGGTGGAGGATGAAGTAGAGGTCAGGCCGAAGCTGAGGACGAGATCGCTGACGCGACTCGACGCCATCATGAAACGTGCGGAATCTCTAGACTTCAATACGGCCAGTGAGGAAAATGATGATCAGTCGACTGAACTAGATCAAAACATTGACGCTACAGTCTCACAGTTTGCTACAGTCTCACAGTTTTAACCAGAGGCCATTGAGAAATTTGCAAGCCAGAACGACAGCAGAGCTACATTTGTTTTCAAGTACTGGCCAGTGATTAGGCAACAATTCTCTGTGTGTGTTTATTGATTACTTCATTACTGATAATAAACCCAAATTGAACTTATTCACTGATTTGTAGTACATTTATTGCATGCGTTAGCAGTCATATTATATATATATATATATATATATATAACAGATTTTACCGGCAGTCCGGTATTACGGTTAAAATGGTGACTTAACTGGTGTCTCTTTCCAGATGTAAGCTGCAGATTGGCAGATTCGTCACTTTTTCACAGCCAAAAAAAAAAACAAAAAAAAAAACATGGCCACACCAAATAAAGATTTTTATTACTTGGTGTTTGCCAGAGATGGGTTGCGGCTGGAAGGGCATCTGCTGTGTAAAAACTTGCTGGATAAGTTGGTGGTTCATTCCGCTGTGGCGACCCCGGATTAATAGAGGGACTAAGCCGACAAGAAAATGAATGAATTAACTATATAAGGAAAATCCTAACTGCAGATTAAAGTGTTCCTCCAATAGCAATGGTTAAATGGAAACAAGCATTCCCTTATTCTTTCCCCCCCAAAAAGCTGGCCAGATATAACAAAATACATAATTCCTAATAAAGTAAAAGAAACATTTTAAAATATTACACAGATACTATCCATGCAATGATTTTATGAAGAAGTTTAAGGAAGGTTCTTCACCCTTGTGTTGTTTTTGTAAAATGGAGCCAGAAACAATTCTTCTTTTATTTTTCAGTTGCAGTTTTACCAAAAGGTTTTGCTTTCCTTACTACTTTTTGAAGTGTTAAATTCAAAATATAATAAATTTGTCAATATAATGATCAAACAGTTTTATTTATGAATTGCAACTCTGGATTATCAGAAATGGACAAAATAACAAAAGAATCTTATTTTATTTGGAAAGCATCACATCCACAAAACAAAATGTATGCTGGCTGTGCCAAACTGTAAACTATTTTTCATTGATCTAAATTTTTTTGATGATTCCCTCACTTCTATACAGAGCAATACCAAAGCTATTAAGACATCTCAACTGCTGGAAAATATACTTAATGCACATGATGAATTTTTGACTAAATTTAAATGACTTAAATGACTACAGAGTTAGGACTTTGGTTTAACACAGTGGTCACCAAACTTGTTCCTGGAGGGCCGGTGTCCTGTAGATTTTAGCTCCAACCCTAATCAAACACACCTGAACAAGCTAATCAAGGTCTTACTAGGTATACTTGAAACATCCAGGCAGGTGTGTTGAAGCAAGTTGGAGCTAATCCCTGCAGCGACACCGGCCCTCCAAGACCGAGATTGGTGACCCCTGGTTTAACACCTCATCCGAAAGACGGCACCCAACGACAGTTTGGTGTCCCCTTTTCTTTTACTGGGGCATTAGGACTCACACAGACCAGATTGAGCGCCCCCTGCTGGCCTCTTTAACACCACTTCCAACAGCAACCTAGCTTTCCCATGTGGTCTCCCATCCAGGCAGACCAGGCGCAGGCCTGCTTTAGCTTTATTGGGTAGTCAGTCTTTGGGCTGCATGGTGATATGGGTGCTGCAATAGCATCATTGTACAATATGTCATTTGTTCTACATTTAAGAGAGGCATTTATTATAATTAAATATCGTCTAAAATGCTCTAAATGGTTTTCTTTTTCTTTTTTAACCAATGTTAAGCATTATTAAACAGAAGTATTTAAGCCTTATTAAACAGAAGTATTAATGTCTTTAATAATATATAACAATAAACCCCAACCCCACCTAGACAGTAAATGATTCCACAATAGTTAATACCAAATGTGTTTTATTCATTCATTTTCCTTCGTCGTAGTCCCTTTATTCGCCACAGCGGAATGAACCGCCAACTTCTCCAGCATTTGTTTTACACAGCGGATGCCCTTCCATGCTGCAACCCAGTACTGGGAAACATCAATGCACACTCATACACTAAGGCCAATTTAGTTTATTCAGTTCACCTGTAGCACATGTCTTTGGACTGTGTGGTGGAAATCGGAGCACCCGAACGAAACCCACGCCAACAAGGGGAGAACATGCAAACTCCACACAGAAACACAAACTGACCCAGCCGAAGCTCGAACCAGCTACTTTCTCGCTGTGAGGTGACAGTGCTAACCACTGAGCCACCGTGTCACCCCAAATGTGTTTATATTTAGTTAAATAAAGTCTTGCTACTAGTAATGTGCTGTGTCTACCAAACCACAGAACACTAGCAAGAGTAATTTACAATTGCTTTATTTATGTCCTTTTCAAAACACTATAAACAAAGTAAAACTTTGAGGAGGAAAGAAAAGAAAGGGACCAAAATTACAAACAGACCGTTTCCCCTTTCAGAAAAATCATACAACACTGGCAATAGAACTGCTGCAACAAATTCAATACATATGAAAAATATTTCCCCTTTTGTTAGTCTTGTGATTCCTCGGTGCCTTTTAAAGTAACACTGTAAAAGTCTCTGGGTAGTGATGATCCGTATTCGGCATTTGGGACGTGTTGAAAGGCGTCCAGGAGAGGTATGCCATGGAAAAACAACGAAACTCGTGTGCGTTCATTCAGCGTCTGCTTGTGCTATAATGCATTTCTGACTTTATGCCAATCCACAAACTCATCCAACATCACCGGCCCTGAAATCAGCACAGAAATCCGTCATTAACAGTTCCACATCTGCATCAGGAGGACATGAAAACATAAAACTTACAGGCTCCGTCTTCATCGTAGTTGCTCAGGTCTGCGTTAACCGTACGGCTGAACTCTAACACGTTGTACCACTGGTCCTTGTTCATGACTTTATACTTCGACTGCTGGAGGAGAAATGCGTATGTTAGCTGCAGTTTACCAAACATTATTAAATCACAAAGTCAATACTGAAGCTTGAGATGATGATAATAATTAAAAATGACTTGTTATCTCACAGTAGGGTTGGGCGATGTTGACCAATTTGGCATCGTACGATGTCTAATGTGAAACATCGCGATGGACGATGGCATGTTGTTAAATATCAATCAATTCATAACGAATTAATTAATTGTAGCCTACCGTTTTCACTCCCTGACCCACATGGTCTTTGCTTTACCCATAACCAAACCATAAGTGAGTCTGGTAATGGGTAAATTAAAGCCCATTGAGTTGGGCTTTAAATGGACTAGTTCTATGATGCTTTTTATTGTTTTGTTTTTGGTTCTGACAGTCGACAAAAATGACAAACCTCCAGAAACTGGTGAAACACTGGGAACAAAGGCCATGTTCGTCCAAGCAGCAGCGCCAACATGGATTTTGCAGTGTCCATATCGAGACTGCGCTGATCTTTATCCTAAAGACAAAAATAAATAAATAAATAATATAAAACGATAAAAGAACATCAAAGAAACATTAAAAGGAGCAGTAGGTGATCTTCCACAATGCTAACAGCTTAGCATAAATCTCTGAATCACAGTCCCTCCTCTGCCCTCTAGAGCCACGCCTCCTGAAACACAAAACAGCAAAAGAACCCTCTCTCATGTGTTAGGGTGCGTTCACACCTACACTTTTGTTTCGGAACCTGTCTTGTTTGCCCAGTTAGCGCGGTTTGTTTGGCATATGTGAAACCACCAATCGCTCTAGGATCTGCGCCAAATCAATCGCTCCGAGATCGCTTGAATGAGGTGGTCTCTGCTCGATTGAAACGAACTCTGGAGCGGATCGATTGCATTGAGAAAGCAAACGATCCGGGCGCGGTTATATCACAGTGTTTTATGGATATGTAATAGGCATACGGCTATATATAGTTTACTCACACATGACTTATTTTAGCTCTTTTAATCCGATTAGAAACTTTGCAGTGTGAAAGTGAACCGCACCAAGAGCAAAGAGCAACAATGTAGCATTTGTAATCTCTGTTTCAGAACAACTGAATCGATTCACAGGTGTGAAAGCACCCTTAAAAGCGAATAGTGCTTGTCCGGCAGCGTGCAAGCCAAACTGACATGCTATTTCAGAGTGAATTTTTAGAGTTGCATGGTAAACAATATAGCGGGAGACTACTATTTACTTGTGTTTTGTTGTTAAACTAATTAAAATCTACATTATAGATGCTGTAAAAGGTCCCTTATGAAACTAAAAATAGTCTTATCAATCTTTCATCGGAAGATTTTAGTGGCTGAACAACACTTCTGTGAAGATATAACCCGTTTGTAACAACAACATCTAACGTTACATCAGCTTTGCGTGAAGCTAAAACAAAACATTACCTGTCTAAGGGTGCTTTCACACTTGGTTCAATTGCCTGGACCGTACCCAAGTTCTATTGTCTCCCCCTGCTACCTCCTCGGTTGGTTTGTGTTCACACTGTCTTTTTTCCTTCTGAACCCCGGTACGCTTGCACCATCGAGCTGCTGTTTTGTTTACGGCAGTTGCTAGGTGACGGTCACGAAAGCAAGCCCCGAAATGGAAAGACTTCCGCACATCGTGGTCATTCTGCTTATACTAAAGCTTTTGGTTTGGGACATACAGAAAGCGACTCGCGTCAATCTGCCGCAAAATATTATAAACATTCAGAACATCACACAGTGTCTGCAGAAGCTGTTTTTGGAGGAGACAAGCAGACATCACTGTGTATCACTGTGTTCGCCCTGGCTCAGTCCTGCTCGTGTCAACAAGGTATGAAACGTGACACACACACACACACAAACACGTAACAAACGTTATAAAAACGATAGTTTGTTGTACAGTTGGCATTTCACTTCCGTTATTTGGTACGATTGCATTCACATCAGAAGTGAACCGTACCAGAGATCGCATGAACCGTACCCCAGACCACCTCTTTCAGGCAGACTAGGGTACGGTTCACGGGTGCGCACCCAAGTTCAAAAGACACGTTCACACTAGCTAAACGTACCGTACTATGACGTCAAACGAACCCGGGTGTGGACCAAAAGTGCTAGTGTGAAAGCACCCTAAGAGAAATCCTTCAGACATGGTGTCATCCTTTCTCCAGCATGCAATGGTAACTTCAATATTGATTCAGGTTTTTAAAAAGTTTTGATTCAGCATGTTTTTACTGATCGCTCGTGCTCTCTCGTGAACGCGCGGCGGTCGGCGAAGCTG